TGCCACTTGTTTTTCAAAATTTTACAAAATGAAATTTGGGATTTTTGGTTGAATTTTCCCTTTGGCCACATTTGGCAGTGAAAGGGTTATAACAATAATAATAATCATAATAATAATAACTGTTTATTCACAACTCCATAGGAAAGAGAAAAGGAGATAGAGGAGGTTATCCTTTTCTAGTTTATCTCCTGATAATAAAATAAATTAAAACATTTATTATTTACAACTGTTTAAAATACTAAGTATAAAATATCACAAGTTTGAAGAATTTAGTGTTCACTAGAAAAATTTGCAAGATGACATCTCAGCCTGTTCTTAAAATTGTTCAAATTTTTTGTCTCAGCAATTTCCTTTGGCAAATTATTCCACTTATCGATTATGTGAAAAAAAAAGAGAATGTTCAAAACTATTTAAAGTCGCGGATGCAAACTTAAGTTTGAAACGGTGATTAGCTCTTAAGGGCTGAAAATCATTTGCAAATGTAAAAAATGCTCAGGGATGTAACGCATTAAGTCTGTTTATTGTTTTATAACACTCGGTAAGCAATGAAAATAATCTTCTTCGTTGAAGTGTTGGCCATTTAAGGAACTTTAGACGTTCTTCGTAGGAGATGTCTGGCCCATTATTTCCAAGGGTACATTGGATGCTTGGTTCAAGTTTAACAAGCAGGGAGATTGTTAAGAGCCTGCTGCTGGCTAATTTTACTGGCTGAAAAAGAGCTTACCAACAGCTCAAAAAAAATAAATTTGAAGATACAATTGAGTAAAAAAGCTGGTTGACTAACAAAAAAGCATTCCCAGCTTTTCCTTAGCTACAGTGTGTACATCCCTGACCAAGTAAAAAAAAATGGTTTGTTCAACAGAGGATAATGTTAGCATGGCACCCTGATATAATAAACACTTACATTATACTTCGAACAAAGCTCCCTGACACCTCTCAAATATCCATCATCAGGAATCTTAACACCAGCTTCACCTTGGATTGGCTCCACCATAAAAGCACAAGTGTTTGGGTCACTGATAGCTTTCTGTAAGAAGGGTACAAACAAATTATGTTGACTGGTATACAATCAGGAGGATGCAATTGTTTGAATGCTACTCAGGAGGATTTAAAGGAGAAAACACAGCTAAGATGGAACAACACAAGCATCCTTCAAAAAGTGAGTGTTTAATGCTATGTTTTCTACCACCATCCCGGAAATAATTCAACATTAGATTCTCATACAAACACTTAAGAAATGGTAAACGTGCAGCATGCAACCATGGAGTTGTGGATGCACGCGGGAGGTTGCTAAGCACAAAAGAAGCGTAAGAGTCACCGAGTGCGACTCTAGCTTCTTGAGTGCTTAGCAAACTTCCCAAGAGCATTCATAACTCCATGGTTGCACAGCTGCAACGTTTACCATTTCTTTTATAACATAATCAAAGAGAAAAACATTATTTTCCATTTGCCTTCGGTTGAGTCATCGGTCCGAGTTCATGTATGCTGCCATCTGCCCGCCCCTTTGAGTTTTTCTTTCGCTGAATCAACCGTTCTGCGTCTTCAGCTCTTCAGGTAAATGGCAAAACGTTTTTCCTTGTCATTCTGAATGGCATCTGTCTACTTGCTCTTAATATTACGGTAAAAACTTTGAGGGAAAACTATAGCTGCAACTATAAACACCAACTAAAAAGACTCTAAAAAATAAGCTAAAACTAAATAAATGAAATAATTATCAAGCTTGTTTATGTGACAATTTTTGAAATAAACGTAAAGTAGAAATGAGAAACTTTGACTGTGATTCCTTTATTAACACTAATTTTAAAAAGAAATTACCGGTAACTAGCTTTGTATCGAAATCTGTCTGAGGAAATCCAGCTATGAAAGTCAAAGTTATAACCGAAATTCGCTGACACACAGCTGGCGCTGAAGCTGTTGTTTTTTTACCGTTCTCTGAACGACTGTTATGAATGAACACTGAGGAACAAAATAATACACACAGAAGTTATTTTTGAAAAATTTATTTGAAAACCCAAATATTTCTGTACTCAAATGAAATTCGCTTATTCCAGCGTAATGTGCCCGTTTAAACTCAACTAAAACTTTTAATCGATGCGATGAAAACTTCACAACAAAGCTGTCTCGAATTTGAGCGTGTTTCCTAAAATATTTGCTTGAATTTAGCATCAGCTTGACCAAAAAGTCAATAACACAATGCTAATTGATAAATTTACATTTCAAACAGACTTTCTCTTCTATAAAAAAACACATAAAATGTACCATGAATCTTCGCTCGCTCAATTTTCCTTCAGCCGATTCTAGCTGCGAGGAAAACAGTGATTAATACATCCAGGGCAAATCTGTTGCTTGATCTTTTGTCTTTTTTCTTTCAAAACGAAAGCTTAGTACTTTCTTCAACTTCCACTTTTCATCTGTGCATTTCATCAATGTATTTTTACTGTCAGGAGAGGAGATTTGATGAATTTACCCAAATTTTACCGCGCTAGCTCAGTTTCTAGGCGTGCACCCACGGGCAAATGGTAGTCGCTAACTGACCAATCAGAGCGCACGATTTACTTTTGTTATGTTGTAAAGTAATTTCTAGCGCATTTGCCTACTCATCAAGATGGTGTCAAAAACCGTGACAAGGTCTATATGGCAAATCATTTTATAACATAGCTAGAAAATTCCCCTCATCAAATTCAATAGCGCGAGCGTGCTTCATATTCCTATTGAGCACGCTGACATTCGTAATTCCTCGAGTTGTTGTGAGCTTAGCAATCCTGATGTCTCCTGAGTGCATCCAAAACTCAGCAGTACACGATAAAGCGTTTACCATGTGTTTTATAAGGAAATTTAAGAGGAAACGTTTGAATTTGTTAACCGATAGTAAGGAAAAGAGGTGAGTGTTGTTGTTGTTGTCATCTCCGCGAGCTGTGCGGGCGATAATGGCGTGAGATCATTCTTTGCAAAGTTGTTTTCTCTCAATAACAATTTTTCGGTGAATTAATAGTTTTCCGGCACCAAAATATGGATTTTACAATCATTTTAGAGTACACTTTCTCTCAGTTTCAGGATAAAAACATAAGCTTAACTGTGAGGAAAAAATATATACTCTCGTAAACATTGACGCGTACTGCTTTGAGCGCGCCCTACAATAATAAAATTTTAAGTTAACTGATGCATTGATCACTTTGATAATGTTATAAAATAATTAGCTCATGCTGCAGCTGTGCGTATGTCGAGATATTGAGCATTTGGGAAGTTTGGAGAGCACTCAAGAGGCTAGAGTTGCACGAGGCGCAACTCTTAGGCCTCTTTCGTGCTCTCCAAACTTACCGCGTGCTCAATATCTCGACATACGCACGCTGACGCATCAACTAATTGTTGAAGGGTAAGATTTCTATACAACCCCACACATTTATTACGCTATTTATATTAACTATATATTTGTGAGAAATGGTATGATATTGCTCCATGCCTAATAAATGTAAGCTCATGAAAAGGAAATCTTGCCCTTCCATATTTTACATACTGTTTACCAACAAAGAATCACGTTTTATGAATAACAAATTGCTTTCAAGGCTAATAATATAGAAACTGATGAGTTGTTCGAAATGTAAAATGAAATTCGTTCGTCGAATTATCAGTTACCCGCAACAACCAAACATGGGTCTCGCACAAGAGAGCACATTGTATAAGAATCTCAGATCATCACGTACGGTGTTGTGATTCACGGTGTGGTTTTTGCACGTGGCATCAATTTACACGATTGTCTGCGTTAAACGAAGCAGGTACGTCTAAAATAGCTTACCTCCAAAGCAGCAAGGTCGTTGTAAGGAATAAGTTCAAAACCAGGCATAAATGGGCCGTATTCTCCATAGCAGTCAGGATCAGAAGATGACGATACTGCGGCAAGAGTCCGCCCCCAGAAGTTCTCTTCAACAAAAACAATCTTGGCTTCGTTCTTTGGTATTCCCTTGACTTGATATCCCCATTTCCTTGCAAGTTTACACGCGCTTTCGCCACCTTCAACACCAGTGTTCATCGGCAAGAGCTTGTCGTAGCCAAAAAGCTTAGTCGCAAACTCTTCAAATTCGCCCAGAACGTTGTTGTAAAATGCTCTGGATGTAAGCGTTAGAACTTCAGCTTGTTCTTGCAGTGTCTTCACTATTCTAGGATGGCAATGACCTTGATTTACGGCCGAGTAAGCGGCGAGAAAATCGAAATATCTTTTGCCAGTGACATCCCAAACGAATACGCCCTCTCCCTTTGACAAGGCTGCTGGCAAGGGATGGTAGTTATGAGCGCCGTACGTGTCTTCGCGCTTGAAAATTTCTTCTGGGGACAGTTTACTTGTGGTCGCAGCGGCTGGAGCGGAATACTGTCTCACTGCTAGGCGAAACAGGTTTCGAGCACAGGAACGAAGCATTGTTAAAAGCGAAAGAAAATAACGAACAAAATTAAAAGGCAAGTAAATATATCTATCTTTCTAATTTTAACTCAATTTGGAAGTCATTACGCTCGTCACATCTACTTCAGCCATCAGCGACCAGTTCGTTTAAGAAAGAGGGAGAAGTTGGAGGCGGGCGCTGTTAAATCAACACGATACTAACCATATATGGTGTATGACGTGTCAATCTATGCTAAATTATGCAAAAATAAATTGTTCCAAATCACTAAACATTTTATAATTTCCTCAAGGGCACCTTTTAAAATCTTTTCTTCACTGAAAAAATACATCGTTAGTATGCTAGGGTTTTGACTTCTGTCAGAAACTCAGGCAACAATGATGTGGAAGAGGAAGATGTTGATAGAGATATGGATGATGATAGAGGTGGTGATAATGATAATAATGATAAATAACGATAAGGAAATGTAGTTTGTCATAAAGAAAGGATAGGATCCTTAGCAGTCTCCTAAACAGCCATTCTTTGTCTCGGCACACGTTACCCCCTCCCCCATGGAGTGTAATGTGTGACAAGAACAAAGAATGACTGTCATGAGGAATCTAGACCCTTTGGTTAGTTGGAAAATTAAAGATATCAAATAATGAAAAAAAAAAAGTAATAATGATCATAATACACTTAAGTGTGTAAATTTGGGCATCATTTTGTGATACCCATAAATATTTTTTTAAAGGATCAATATGGGTCATAAAGGAACAAGATCCTTTTCATCCTTTTGTGCTTTAATAATTATTACAGCCCAATACTAGCTTGAGAACGCAAAATGTCAGCTGTTTACTCAGGCTAGCCCACCCATGGTCATCAAATCTTTTTCCATCAAAATCTGCTCCTTCTGCACATGGGGCTAATACTGCATGCCCGGGGGGGGGACTCGCATATGAAACAGACGGGGATGCTCGTCGGAAATTTTGAATTTAACCCCTAAAGGAGACCATCTGGGCGTGGCTCAAGCTTTTTGTGACCCCTAAAGGAGACCAACCTGGGCGTGTATTAAGCAAATTTTGACCCCTAAAAGAGACCGCTTAAAAACACACAAATACGACATGCAATGAGTTTTAATGATTATAAAGACATAATCATCGAATGCTTTTATCTAATAGTAGTTTTTAAAAGCATTGTCATAAATCTCAAGTTCTTTGTTGAACCCTAAACGAGACCTTGGCGGCTTAAAATATTGGCGCTTTGCCCAAAATTTGCACCCCTAAGCGAGACGACGAGCATCCCCGTCTGTTTCATGTGGGAGTCCCCCCCCCCCCCCGGGACTGCCTCCATGGCAATATCAAACCCCAAATCCTTGTATCTTCCAAGTTAAAAGAATGTGCGTGATCGCAAGAGCGTAGCTGTCTCGAATTTGAGCGTGTTTCCTAAAATATTTGCTTGAATTTAGCATCAGCTTGACCAAAAAGTCAATAACACAATGCTAATTGATAAATTTACATTTCAAACAGACTTTCTCTTCTATAAAAAAACACATAAAATGTACCATGAATCTTCGCTCGCTCAATTTTCCTTCAGCCGATTCTAGCTGCGAGGAAAACAGTGATTAATACATCCAGGGCAAATCTGTTGCTTGATCTTTTGTCTTTTTTCTTTCAAAACGAAAGCTTAGTACTTTCTTCAACTTCCACTTTTCATCTGTGCATTTCATCAATGTATTTTTACTGTCAGGAGAGGAGATTTGATGAATTTACCCAAATTTTACCGCGCTAGCTCAGTTTCTAGGCGTGCACCCACGGGCAAATGGTAGTCGCTAACTGACCAATCAGAGCGCACGATTTACTTTTGTTATGTTGTAAAGTAATTTCTAGCGCATTTGCCTACTCATCAAGATGGTGTCAAAAACCGTGACAAGGTCTATATGGCAAATCATTTTATAACATAGCTAGAAAATTCCCCTCATCAAATTCAATAGCGCGAGCGTGCTTCATATTCCTATTGAGCACGCTGACATTCGTAATTCCTCGAGTTGTTGTGAGCTTAGCAATCCTGATGTCTCCTGAGTGCATCCAAAACTCAGCAGTACACGATAAAGCGTTTACCATGTGTTTTATAAGGAAATTTAAGAGGAAACGTTTGAATTTGTTAACCGATAGTAAGGAAAAGAGGTGAGTGTTGTTGTTGTTGTCATCTCCGCGAGCTGTGCGGGCGATAATGGCGTGAGATCATTCTTTGCAAAGTTGTTTTCTCTCAATAACAATTTTTCGGTGAATTAATAGTTTTCCGGCACCAAAATATGGATTTTACAATCATTTTAGAGTACACTTTCTCTCAGTTTCAGGATAAAAACATAAGCTTAACTGTGAGGAAAAAATATATACTCTCGTAAACATTGACGCGTACTGCTTTGAGCGCGCCCTACAATAATAAAATTTTAAGTTAACTGATGCATTGATCACTTTGATAATGTTATAAAATAATTAGCTCATGCTGCAGCTGTGCGTATGTCGAGATATTGAGCATTTGGGAAGTTTGGAGAGCACTCAAGAGGCTAGAGTTGCACGAGGCGCAACTCTTAGGCCTCTTTCGTGCTCTCCAAACTTACCGCGTGCTCAATATCTCGACATACGCACGCTGACGCATCAACTAATTGTTGAAGGGTAAGATTTCTATACAACCCCACACATTTATTACGCTATTTATATTAACTATATATTTGTGAGAAATGGTATGATATTGCTCCATGCATAATAAATGTAAGCTCATGAAAAGGAAATCTTGCCCTTCCATATTTTACATACTGTTTACCAACAAAGAATCACGTTTTATGAATAACAAATTGCTTTCAAGGCTAATAATATAGAAACTGATGAGTTGTTCGAAATGTAAAATGAAATTCGTTCGTCGAATTATCAGTTACCCGCAACAACCAAACATGGGTCTCGCACAAGAGAGCACATTGTATAAGAATCTCAGATCATCACGTACGGTGTTGTGATTCACGGTGTGGTTTTTGCACGTGGCATCAATTTACACGATTGTCTGCGTTAAACGAAGCAGGTACGTCTAAAATAGCTTACCTCCAAAGCAGCAAGGTCGTTGTAAGGAATAAGTTCAAAACCAGGCATAAATGGGCCGTATTCTCCATAGCAGTCAGGATCAGAAGATGACGATACTGCGGCAAGAGTCCGCCCCCAGAAGTTCTCTTCAACAAAAACAATCTTGGCTTCGTTCTTTGGTATTCCCTTGACTTGATATCCCCATTTCCTTGCAAGTTTACACGCGCTTTCGCCACCTTCAACACCAGTGTTCATCGGCAAGAGCTTGTCGTAGCCAAAAAGCTTAGTCGCAAACTCTTCAAATTCGCCCAGAACGTTGTTGTAAAATGCTCTGGATGTAAGCGTTAGAACTTCAGCTTGTTCTTGCAGTGTCTTCACTATTCTAGGATGGCAATGACCTTGATTTACGGCCGAGTAAGCAGCGAGAAAATCGAAATATCTTTTGCCAGTGACATCCCAAACGAATACGCCCTCTCCCTTTGACAAGGCTGCTGGCAAGGGATGGTAGTTATGAGCGCCGTACGTGTCTTCGCGCTTGAAAATTTCTTCTGGGGACAGTTTACTTGTGGTCGCAGCGGCTGGAGCGGAATACTGTCTCACTGCTAGGCGAAACAGGTTTCGAGCACAGGAACGAAGCATTGTTAAAAGCGAAAGAAAATAACGAACAAAATTAAAAGGCAAGTAAATATATCTATCTTTCTAATTTTAACTCAATTTGGAAGTCATTACGCTCGTCACATCTACTTCAGCCATCAGCGACCAGTTCGTTTAAGAAAGAGGGAGAAGTTGGAGGCGGGCGCTGTTAAATCAACACGATACTAACCATATATGGTGTATGACGTGTCAATCTATGCTAAATTATGCAAAAATAAATTGTTCCAAATCACTAAACATTTTATAATTTCCTCAAGGGCACCTTTTAAAATCTTTTCTTCACTGAAAAAATACATCGTTAGTATGCTAGGGTTTTGACTTCTGTCAGAAACTCAGGCAACAATGATGTGGAAGAGGAAGATGTTGATAGAGATATGGATGATGATAGAGGTGGTGATAATGATAATAATGATAAATAACGATAAGGAAATGTAGTTTGTCATAAAGAAAGGATAGGATCCTTAGCAGTCTCCTAAACAGCCATTCTTTGTCTCGGCACACGTTACCCCCTCCCCCATGGAGTGTAATGTGTGACAAGAACAAAGAATGACTGTCATGAGGAATCTAGACCCTTTGGTTAGTTGGAAAATTAAAGATATCAAATAATGAAAAAAAAAAAGTAATAATGAT